AAAAAAAAAAAAAAAAAAAAAAAAACTGAATATAAACTACAAATAAGACAAAAAAAAAATAAATGTTTGTAATTTTAGTTTATGGTTGGATTACCACTAATAAATTTACACTTTAAATCACACTTCGGTTTACTTATGGTTAATATAAGTAATGTATTATTTGTAACTCATTCATAACTAAACTATAAATAAACTATTGAAAAAAATCATATTTATACTAGACAAGCTAAAAACATGTGCATATGCAAGAAGATAACAAAAAAAAAAAAAAAAAAAAAAAAAAATAAAATAAAATAAAAAATTGCACATGCATATATAATTGACGTTTGAATATCCACGATTTATAAACCATATTTAAACTGTAAATGAAATTTGGCAGGAATCACGCTTCCCAATATTAAGTTTACTACCTTTCTTAATCCATTAATTAAGATAATGTCAATAAGCTGTAAATACAGAACATAAAAATTTGATAACTCATTTTCTTGGTAGATTAGGATTGAAAAGGAACATAACTTTTTTCTCTCGTTTAAATGTACATATAAATATGTTTGATCGTCCAGGGGTAATCATCTCTTTGAAAATGTCAGGTGCAGAAATACTTCTCAACATTTTTTATTATCTATTCAATTTCTTCGTCTTTTCCAACTAATTTGTACTTCACAAATTATTATTTGTAAGTTCATTTGTATTATGTTTAGGCATCCTTTGGTCCACTTAGGTATGGGCCTAGGCAGGGCAGACCAGGTTAAGGCTGTAAAGGAGCCGAGTCGAGCTCGAGCTTAAGGTGTTTGAGCTCGAGCTTAACGAGCCGAGCTCGGTAAACGAACCAAAAATCGAGCTCGAGCTCGGCTCGATAAGGCTTCGAGCTCGAGCCTTAACGAGCCGATCTCGAGTTTTAATGAGCCGAACTATAAAAAATTACATAAATTTCACTTTTCGAACCTTAACGAGCCTTATCGAGTCGACTCGAGCTCGGCTCGTTAACCAAACGAGCTTTAAATGAGCTCGAGCTCGGCTCATTAAGGCTTCGAACTCGAGCCGAACCGAGCCTTAACGAGCCGAGCTCGAGCCGAGCCGAGCCGAGCCAGACTCCTTTAATTTAACAGCACTAGACCAGGTCGAGCAGAAGCGGGCCTGCAAAGGTTCTCAAGAAAATTGTGCCACCCCACCCGAGTTACTATGAAGTATAATTTTCTCAAGAAAATAGTTTTGCTAAAAACTTTTAGGTAGTTTAATATTCAATTCGTTTTGAGCAATATTCTCCACTTTTAATTGAATATAAAATTTTGAAAATTTAAATCTGTTTCAATTAAAGTTAAACTAATCGTGAAAATTTAACTTTTACTAAGTGGATTTTTTTTAGTAAAGTTTTCAAGATTGAATCCAAACATTGATCAAACAAAAATACTGAGGATTCAAGTCTTCAATCGCGCTAAATACACGTATAATTCAATTTAATTAGCAATTTGACCGACTGACGATTAGAAAGTAAAATTATAGGGTGACTAAGGGGGCGCTTGTTTATGGATTTTTTCAACCAAAATATTTCATTTTGTTAACTATAGTTAAAGTTGAAAAAGTAATGTGGTTAATTGTTAGTGGAATTTAAAAAATATATTAAAATAATATTTAAAATAAAAATGATTAAAGTTGATTTGATATAAAGTAGGAGATAAATGATTGGAAATGATTGGTAGTTAAAATTATGTGAGTAGTTGAATAGTGAATTAAAGTTGATGTGATGTGTAAGAATGATTGGTTTTTATTATTTAATTGTATGAATAATATTAAAGATAGTGGGGTTGAGTTAAAGTTGAGTTAAATATTTGAGTTGAAAAAATTGGATTGAAAAAATCCATAAACAAGCATGCCCTAAGCTATTAGCCATTTGATTTTCACTAAGCTTCACATGTATAATTTTAGTTCTTGTTTATCTAATGGCTAGTCTTAGTTTGGTAATTATGGTAAAGTTGGAGACACGTATTTTTGTTTAGCATATGTTAATGGAATTTTTTCTCAACTTTTATATATAGAGTAACTAGTACAACACCCGTGTATTACACGGGTGCTTGCTAATTTTTTTCTTAAAATCTAAAATTAATAAGAAAAAAGTAGTTTGAAAATTTAAATAGCTTTTATAAGAATATATATATTATTATATATTTATTGTGTCACTTTTTATTTGTGCGACTTACTTATGTTATATTATACTAATTTTTTTAACTTACAATATATAACTACATTACATATAAATATATCAATTGAGAAATAATTTTATTTTTCTAATGAATTTTAATAAATATTATTATTTTTTATTATTATAAAGATAAATATAAATTATTTATTTCATATATACAATATGGATGTCAAATCGAAGATCATCAAAAGATGATTAATTTGATATATTATATATGTAAAACCGATAAGAAATACAAAAGTTATCAACTTTTAAAATACATTTATAATTCAATAGCTTATTGAAGGAAACAAATCAAAATTCAGGGATATATTAGTCACTTATTGCCTCACTATGTAAAAAATACAAAAAATTAAAAGGTTATATTAGTAAAAGTGATATTAAAATACCTAAGTTAGCTAAATAATATTTATGGAATACCCGAACCTAGATGATTAATTATTAATATATCAATATTATTCATCCAAACCTAATTACGAAGCATGATTCTTCGCCAAATAGGATTCCGAAGCACCAGAAGCAGCCACGTAGGCTCAGCGCATTCTGCAATTATATATAGGGAGGATGCTATAGGTACATAATGTTGTACATAAAGGTGTACATAACACTCACATTGAGTGAGACCCACTAAAATTAAAAAATCAAATGGACTCCACTGAATGTGAATGTTATGTATATCTTTATATACCTTGTTATGTACATGTAGCATTTTTTATATATATATATATATACACACATCACTACCCAAAATGTCTGGTATTGTAGTGATCAGTTTTGTTATGGAGCCCAAAATGTCTGGTATTATAGTGATCAGTTTTGCTATGGAGCCATTTGATGGCTCGACTAATGGAGTCATTCACACTTATTCACCAATAATGTATTGACACTTGTCCTACAATAAGTACAATTTGGATAGGTGTCAATACATCAAGTGGTGGATGACTCCATAAGAAAACCATCCGACTCCTCCATACAGTTTTAAAATGACAGTTCAGTTTTACTGTGGAGCCATCGGATGACTCGACTTATAGAGTCATTCACACTTATTCACTAATAGTATATTCACCAACGTGTAATTTGACAGGGATGGCAAAACGACCTGGACCTGGCCCGACCCGGAGCATTTGGGGTGGCCCAAACCTGCCCCATTTCTAGAACGGGTCTGGTCTGGCCCGACCTGTTAACTAAGCGGGCCAGGTCCGGGTCCTTTTTCCCGGCCTGTCCCGACCCGTCCCGATCTTATTTATTTATTTTTTATATAATTATATATCATATATAAGTAAAATTATTAATTTTTAGTAGCTTGTGAAATTAGGAATTAGGTTTTGAGTTTTCTCATTTATGTATTTCTCATTTCTACATAAATTTTATAAAATATATAATGTTTGGATCTTTCTATTTTGATTTTTGAATTGTATGACTTATTATGTTATTTGTTGGATTGTCATATTTCGAATATTAAGATTACTTTTGAGTGCTATTTAGGCTTATAAAATTTTATTATTCTTATTATTATTATTATTATTTTGTGCAATGTGTGATGTTTAAGTCGATGATTAGGGTAAATAAAAGGGATAAAAATTATGTATGTGGCTACCGGGTCGAGGCGGGTCAGACATGGGTCGCAGGTCGAGGCGGGTCGACCCGTCCCGAAACGGCTCATATCACGGGCCTACCTGTTAGACCCGTCGCGGCTCGCGGGGCAGGTCGGGTCCACTGGGCAAAAACGCGGGCCAGGTCTAGGTCCACAAGTACCCGGCCCGACCTGGGTCCATTGTCATCCTTATTTGGCTCGGTTGATTTTGCAAATTCTAAATTGTAAAAATAAATAAATATATATATATACTAGGGAAGAACCCGCCGTGCAAAGCACGGCGAGGCCCACGGTCAAGTTGAGTTAATTATTTAGACATTTAACTATTAGGAATGAAAAAATTACTATAAAGTTGAATGTTA